AGGTAGCTTATAGCTTTATATACATGTATGCTGACTTAAGAACCCCCCCCCAAAAAAAAAACAAAACAAAACAAAACAAAACTTAAACTCTCCTTTAGAGAAAAATAATATTTATGAAGGCACGCGGCGTACGCATCGACAACATTCTGCTATCCCGTTTTTAACCCAGTCCAACACAACACTTATAAAATTATAGACATTTCATAATTATTTGTTTCATGATTTTGTAATTAAAAAAAATCAAATAAAAAATTGTGATTTATAATTATGTTATCTGTTTTGGGTATCCACCCTATCTTTAAAAAAAGAGAATTGTAGAAGAATTTTATAATGTAGAGAACGTATTGATGTTATAATTGAAAGTCTTAGTATAAAAAATTAAAACGAAACCATATTCCTGTTATTCACGAACAGGTAATTCTGCTCAAGATGACTTTTGCAGACAAGTTTGGTATTAACGGGGTTCAAAATACTTAACATTATGCTGAATATTTAAGAACACCTTTCACAAATCTATTGTCTTTTTTACATCCGACTTTAGAGTAATTTTTTTGGTTTACAACTCTTTAAAATATTAATGACGTAGAAGGATATGTTTTACAAACCGGGCCCATCTTCTTACATTTTCGCCAGCCAAGTTAAAGAAATTTAAAAATCGTAGATAATCCATCGTCGGTATTTTTCATAAACTTGCAAAATAAGGAGTGAAATATTTAAGAAAATTAACTTAAAATCTGGTAATGGAAGAGAGACAATAGTTAAGATAGAGAGAAAAAACATCTGTCTGATTCCCCGTGTTGAGCCTCTTTTTTGCGTCAAAGGGAAGCAACTTGCACAATTTATCGTATCCAGTCGCTTCGGAGAATATACGTGTTTCCGTTTGAGAATTACTGATACATGAAGAAATATTGCCTTAAACAATACCAATTTTACTTGTTTCTTGATATCTCATAATATTGTAGTTAGAAAAATGCGCTTTAAAAGTTGTGGAATCGTGGCTTTTGTACATTTTGTACTGAATCGATATGCCTAGCTGTTTGTTTTTGTTTGTTTGGTTGGTTAATTTCTGTGATAAATTTGAAAATACATGTAAATTCATTCAAAGACATAAAACATTAAAGTATATCTAATATAACATTGCGAATTTAATCGTGAATGAATGAATACTCGTGCACACGATGATAGTAAATCACACACTAGGCTATTACTGCATCAGTAACATGTGCGATTTTCTGTGCCAGATTACGTCTCCTCTGGTTAAAATTTATACTCTAAACTACAATAAAAATATATTCTGTACTCCCTCAGTAATGCACCATGCCATTTTTTCTTCGCTTTATGTCTACAAACTTATTATTTATCTGGTGTTAGATGTGGCCTTACGTCTTCTGTTGTTTGAAAAAAAAAAGTGTAGATCGGACTCGGCATTCCTCGGGCTTGTGTTTACATTGATCCATGGTAACAATAAAAAAATAAGGCTTTACGAAGGGGAATACATTTAAATTTGTTTGTTTAAATAGTACATGTTTAAAATGATCCAATTTTTTGAAGAAAAAATCTTTGAACTGCAGTTACGATGTCTAAAATATTTCTTAACGTGAAAACCATGTGTAGTAAAAATACCGGGAAATCTTTCTCAACTTTATTCGCGTTTTTCTCATTATGACGTTGCAAACGATAAGGTCGATTTCTATCCGACGAGGCTCAATTATTGACAAACAAGTTGCTGAGGCAAGCACATCAGCAGTCTTGTTTAAAGTCATCATTTCGTAAGTTCTATGGTCGATACCAGGAGCTTATAATTATTTGAATGGCGAGGAAATAACTGCAAAATTTGGAAACTGAATATGAACTTTTTTAGAGGGATTTCTAAAAAACAAAATCATCTAACAAATTACAAATAATTGTAAGAATGACAGCTTTTTGTGAAAATTCAGATTGACAACTGTCAATGAAAATTTAAAAAAAAGAAAAAAAGCTTTGACATACACTGTAGAATAAAAAAACAATCTGGATTCTTTATGTTTACTTCTTTAGATTTGCTTAAAACCAATTTGGTTCTTGAAAACCACTTACCCATTTCGGATGTTGTATAACATTAATATACCCGAAATATTTCCCCCATATCATCTTTTGCAATATATCTTACAGTTTTCCTTGTCAAATAAACATTTGAACATTTTAATAATTTAACGAATATCACTAATTTCATCCATATTTATAAATCAATAGAAAACCAAACAAAACTCATTCCGATTTGCATGTGTTTAATTAGGATACTCTGTCACACACAACTAGTATTCATGGTCATTAATTGGTGTGATGTGTTATGGTTTACGTCCCTTTGTTGCTTTAGTATGTATTTGTTCACCTTAAAAATATATTTTTCAATAAAACTTTTGCATCTCTTTACAAAATTTTTCTTTTGGAACTGTACTGAGAGATAAATAAACCAGTTTATTAATTGATGAACAGTATGTTGAATGTTATATTTCAGTAGGATCGGCATTATATAAAAGGGTTAAGAATATCAAGAGCGTTGTAGGTTCAGTTTTCCCCTAGACAATATACTGGCAAATAGGTTTACATTACAGAAGTGAACAAGCGACTAGTGTTTATTGAGCATTTAATTATTTCTTTGGTCGTAGTAATGACTTTATTCCTGATATAACCTACCCTTTTGTAATATTCTGTCTTACATGTACATATACATTTCATAATATATACATTTGTGGTATCTCTCCATTATATAAACATACAGAAAGAAAATATCTTCAATTCTGTATGAAGTTTGTCAGAGGTCAGAGGTCAATACGTGACCTAATCACACGGCGCAATAATATCTACCGGTACATAAATTATAAAATGACCTGCTCTACTTGCTTTTCGTGTATAAAAATGAATAAAATAAGCAAGTAAAATGATAATTATTTTATTTTAAATGTAAACAAGAGAGACAGAGGCTACCGATTCAACCTGTGTACATAGAGAAAACTAGGAGCAGGGGTTTAAAAATACGGTGGTCCGAGGTCCAGGACCTAAAGTTTATTGGGGCGGACTAGTCAATTGTTACCCTTTGATAGTCCGTAATTTTTCGGGCCGAACTTCGGCCCCAGTTCCAATGGGAAATATGCCTGTATTTTCCCATATTGTAGTGGAAGTCATCCCAAAGAAAAACTTACGAAATGTGTGATCAAATTCAGTTTGTTTATTGCATTTTTTCAAGTAGAGTTCAAGCAGGTTTTGTGGTTGTTCAGCCATGTTGGATTTTTCTTCATTAGTTAATTCATACCACTATTGTTCTTTATGCAAGTAATTAGATAATTCATACCAAGAATAGTCTTGATTTGTGATAACAGTTGTTCGTTTTAAAGTAATACAAACAAAGCATTTTGCCAATGTTGTTTTAATGACTGGGTTTTCTGGGATATTCCCCAATTAATTTAGCCAAATTGAAGCTGAAATTCCAAATTCTTATGGCCCAAGCCCCCAGTCCTAAAGTACTAACAAAAACCCCCACTGTAATCAAATTGATTAAAACAAAGTATGTTTTTTTTTAACTTTGGACTAGTAATTTTATGACACGGACTAGTGAAATTTACTAGCTCAATAGTCCTTGGACTAGTGAATTTTTAGGGAAAATTTAAACCCCTGATAAGCCTAGCGTTTGTACATTTTTCTTCACTTTTGTCAGCTGCACAGTCTCTAACGTTCATCCTTATTTTTTGGATAGACCTTTGGTTAAATTTTCATGATAAACTTTTATTTTATCTTTAAATTTTACTCACGATAAATGTGTAAATCTGTTGGAAAATATCTTTGCAATGAACAGCTGCCAAACACCTCGGTGTTTTCGTAGTTCAATATAAAGCTGTCGCCAGTGTCTCCGTGTTTATCAGTGTTTTACGATAAGTATGCCTTTAGTTACTGAAACCGTGGAATATTTTTGATCAAATTGCAAATTAACTGGCTCGGACAAGTGTCTCAGTCCATCGGATCCATCCATCCCTTTCCAGCGACCGAAATTCCTCCAACTTTTTATCATCAAACTTCGGACGTGTTTCTTGTGTCTTTTCAGCGTCGATTATCATTTTCACGAATAAAATATTCCCAGACAACAATCTGTTCACTATTACTGATCACAAGTAGCCTTTCACAAAATATTCCTTTCGAAATAGATTCCTTAGCCTAATGAATTTGAAGCGTAACCGCCATGCAAGCCGATTTACACCTTGCGTCATTTTTCAAAATCTACGACGGACGGTTAGTGCAATAATTTAAATTCGAAAATATTCAATTGTCTGTCTCAAATGTATATATAAGTAATAAATAACAAGTTTATAAACTTCAATGGGAATTGAAGTGGGTCGGTACGTGATCAAATCTTCTGAGAAGGCCTTCGGCCTTCACAGGATTTGATCACGTGACCGACCCACTTCAATTCCCATTGAAGTTTATAAACTTGTTATTTATTTCTTAAATAATTATTTTGCCATTAAATTTACACTTACTATAGTAGTTTGTCTAATCGTTACTCCGTTCAACTCACTAATAGAGGGAATTCATGACAATCGAAAGAAATAATGCTTAGAAGCACTCCTCCTACATACATGATCACAATTACATTGGTGTTTTCAGAGTGACTGTTTTTGTCATTTTGAATTGTTAACGGGAATTATGAGTCACGGTTTGATATCTTCACCCCTTTTCATTTTTTCTAATTTACGAGAGAGAGAGAGAGATCACATAAAGAATCTATTTCTCTACAAAAGCGAGCATTCGATTTGAAGCAAAATTCAGTCGTCACAAGCGACAAAAGACCAAACAAACTTTATCGTTTTTCGTTAATCAAAAATATATTCATACAATTGTCAGTCCGATTAGCGTTTTTCATCCAATGAATCTTGTTAATGTTGTTAAAGATTTTTCATACATATATGTATATGACAATGAAATCATATCCGAAACAACGATTACACCAACCATAGCTGACAGAAATGTCACCTAAAGAGCACCGGAAGTTTATATCTAACCCCTGATATCACATCTGGAATAACGATGAAACCAACCATAGCTAACAGAAATATCACCCAAACAACACCGGAAGCTACGGCAGACGGTCGTGAATCTTTTACACTAATCTTCTTTTTCATGGCAACAGATGTTTCATTTTTGAAAACCATGAGTTCTTTTTTCATCTTCACAATTTCTTTAGTTAATGCTTCTTCTTTGGTGCTTGTGTACTTTGCTGCATGAACCTTATCACAAGGACACATGCACGTTCTTTTAGCTGAAATAAGAAGAAGAAATATTTAAATTACAGTTACTTTAAATACTAACAATTCTTTCTTTAAAATCCATGGTTTACTTTTACTTGTATTTGTGTCTGGAATGTTACCATAATAATATGAAATTATATTTTGCTTCAGATAAACGAAGAATGTTTCCACCTAAAATTAAGACGAAGTATGTTTACGAAGATACACAATTCTATAAATCAACTTCCACTTATTCATGATTCATGATTCATTATTTAAGAGCGATGAAAATTATTTCGAAAGACGATTTTGGGCTTCAATAAGATTTATTTACTGTAATGTTGCTCTAACAACGACCTTACTGGGTATTGTCGTTCATTATTTTACATTTTTCAGAAATAACTTTTAATCGTTTAGATATCTTAAACTCTACACATAGATCTTTTAAGGTTATAACAAATGTACCTATTTAACTTCGAGTTGTTCTTTCCATATTAAGAAAAGATAAAAATCTTTCTCTTTGGTATCGTGAAAAATGTTCAATTATTTTGTTATGTGGTATAACAGAGGGCAATTTAAATTCATGTGTTTCATAAGCCTAATTATAAAAAATATTCTGATTACTGGAGTGTGATAATTTGAAATAGGAACTTTTCATTTGAAAAAAAATCAGTTGCTAAAACAAATTAGGCCTGATTATTTTATTTTACGATGGCTTATACTGATTTTGTTTTAATAATTAACAAGACATATGTATTAGCTTTAAGAATTTTTTTCAAAATTGGTCGGAATTATTATCCACTGAAAGTTGTTACATATTCTCTTGGAAAGATATTCATTCAATGTACAATTGTCAACTAAGATTAATAACTAACGTACTTAAGGAATGAAGCTTATTTCAACTTTTTTTATACGATGTTACATAATTTGGGGCAGTTTACATTTTATAAACCGCGAATCGGTTTTAAAAAAAATCGTAAACTGCCCCAAGCTATGTTATATAATATAACATAAGTTGAAATAAGCTTAATTCCTTATAATTTAATTTCACTGTAGATAATGAGACAATTTTTCCATTTTTTTTATCCGGAAAAAAGCATATTTTAAAAATAACGTCAAACGGAGAAATACCTTTTTAGACGTAACTCATTGTGACGTAGGCAAGTTATGTTACACAAAATGGATAAAATCTTTTACCCAATCAAATGACCTGTTACAATGAAAATTAAATTATAAGTGTATGATGACTTTTTCTTTAAAAAAAAATCAAATAGAACATCTTTAAAAGAAATGAAAAAAACAAGACAATTCAATGTCAGATTTTTAGTACTTTCATTTACTGAGTAGTCAAGAACAATCAGCATAAATTTTTATTCAATGAATCAGCACAAAAAAAGAGCATCAGCAGATAAGCTTAAGGCCGGTATACACGATGAGATTTGTAGTATAATACAAGTATTATAAAACTTTTGTATTATAATACTTTCCTGTACTCACGCTAATACATATCTTATAAGATTGTAAATAAACTACGTGTTTTCCCCGCCATATTTCTCTCTCTGTCAAAGTAATAAAAATGGAGGATTAGGCTCTGATAGCAGTGTCTGTCATCGTGCTATTCACGGCTTGATATATTCAACAAGTCCTCTTCCCCTTCCCATTAAGCCACGAGTTTTTCGATGTCTTTAATTGTAAAGTCAACCAATATTATTTACCATGTGCTTTTTTTAGTGATGATAAAAATAGGATGACCCATAGTGCCATTTCATTTCATTGGTTGAAAGTGATAGGTAAGTTAAGACTTGTATTAGGAAATAGAGCATTGTTCTATTCTTAATACAGTTTTATAAGATTCGAAAAATCTTATGATACACTGTATTAAGAGTGTATACACAGTACAATGAAGCGCATTGAAGTGGTAAAATTTTCTGTTTGGATGACACGTTCTGAGTCATGTTTTGAACGTCAATTATAACATAATGACACGCCCATTTCTTTAGAAACGAATAAGAAATATTCGTTGAAATGTTTAGGACACCCCACTCTTCGTGACAAACAACATAAGTTACACCGAAATGGAGATTTTTAAAGTTATAAGAGAGAGAAAGTTAGATAGTTCCTGCTTCTGTAAAGCATGTATTTCAAAGAATTTGTCAATAATTATTTAATTTATCATGTTTATTGGAGTAACCATAACACATGCATCGGTCGAACACGTGCTTACTCGGTGTTTATGTAGACCGTCAATTTGATTGGCTATTATATTTATGGAATACCTGTTCTACAGGTATTCGAATGAACCATTTGACCGATTTTTCCTTTCTAAAGAAATGGGCGTGTCATTGTATGACAATCATCGTTCTAAAGATAGCTCAAAACGTTCCAGTCAAACGGAAAATTTTACCACTTCAATGCGCTTCATTGTAAGATTTTGTATTATAATACAAATCTTATAATACAAATCTTACCGTGTATACCGGCCTTTAGGGACAAAACGTCAGGTGCCATACATTGCAGATATAACAGCATATAAAAGTCTAGTGATACGAATGAAGAAGTAGATGTATCATTACGAACTGAATGCTATTCACATTAAAAGCAGTTGAGGCGATCCATACTTTTGCATGCCACATTACAATTAGTTGTGTAAACTAGAGCAAAGCTCGTTGCAAAGCAACGAGTAGGTCTTCCGTCCTGTTTGACTGGAAGTAACTTTTATTAAAAAAAAAAAAGATAAATGACGTCTCTAATGATTTAAATATTCCAAATCTATGTTGAAAAATTGCAAAAGTATGCCATTTTTTTGCTACTTTCTGTTCGACAGGGAGTGACGTCGACGGAAAATTAAGTTTTATGCTTCCGGTGAAAAATATTTCCCAAAAACATGTTAAGAACGGCAAAAATAAAAATAAGTGAAAATAGTAAAAAGTATAATTTGAAATATAGAGTATGTAGGTGTTTGGTCCTTTTTATATCTACAATTTAATTATATCAATTGTTATAGATATGTTAATTACGCATTATCTGCAAACCTTTCTTCATCAATTCAATCACACGAATGTCGATTTCCACGTCATTTGTTTGTTGTCTTTGTCGTCCACTTCCCCATGGATAATCAATATCGAATACATACGACATATTGGTAGGTTTCACTCTCCAGACGTAAACGCCGAAGTTGTTGTAGCCGTACACCAGTCCAGAATATCTGTTTGAAGTACCATAACCACCAAACGTGACCACTGAACCAGCTCCATAAAACGAGAAACCACCATTGGGGCCACTCAAGGGACGAATCTGAAAAATAGAGTATGTATGTGTTTGGTCCTGTTTATATTAAATGACAGCATACTGTACATCCAAAGATAAAGTCGTGATACAAAATAATGTACTTGTACGTAACCTGCAGTTGTGCCAATTTAATCCCAAACCCAAATAAAACAAAATAATATTTTAGGTGTTGCATGTAAACAAAAAAGACGTTATATACTTTCCTTAAGAAACCATTATCGTTTATAAAAGTAAAAACAAGATATGTTTGAGAAACACTATGCGTCCGGCGGCAACAAAATTCGAAAAAACTATTTTTAGCATATAAGTCACAGTATAGTTCACAAGGCCATTGACATTGGTGTCATTTTGAAGAGCGTAATAAGTGGAGTATGCATACCAGATACGAAGTCTGTATCTCTTACGGTTCAAAAGTTATGGAGAAGGTTCAAAAACGCTATTTTTAGCATTAAGGTCACAGTCAGTGACACGAAGTTATTGAACTTGGTGTTATTTGAAAGAACTTAATTAGTGGAGTATGCATACCAAATATTAAGTCTCTAACTCCTATAATTCAAAAGTTATGGCGAAAGTTCGAGAAAGCTATTTTTAGCATATAGATCACAGTCAAGGTTACAAGGTCATATACCTTGATGTCATTTGGATTGGCTGAATTCGTGAAAAATGCATACCAAATATGAAGTCTCTATCTCTGATGGTTCAAAACTTACAGCAAAAGATCGAAAAAGCTATATTTAGCATATACATGTAGGTAATATTCAAGGACACAGGGTCATTGACCTTGGTGTCTGTTGAGTATGCACACCAAATATAACGTCTCTATCTCTCACGGTTCAAAAGTTATGCCGAAGGTAAATGTTAACAACAGACAGACAGGTAAACAGACAAACAGATAAACAGACAGGACAAAAAACAATATACACCCCGATCTATCTATCCTTGGGCGCAAAAAAATCTATGCAAAAGAAAATCTGTAATAGCTGCAAGAAATGTCTTATATCGGTGAGATGTAAAACTTTCTAGAATTTCTAGATTTGTCTAGACACAAAACATCAAGACTAAGATATCATAAGCTTTTACAACTTTTTTGTTAATCTCCTTTTAAAAACATATGATAACTTTTATCATTTTAAAGCAAAGTCCGGTCAACAGCTTTGCTTTGAAGCAAAATATCTAAGGATCATTGTAATTTATACAATGATTTGTCTGCTTTGATTAAGTAAGAGCATAGAGGTATGAGAAATCTACAGACAACATGGCCACAACATACCAAAACCTGCACAAGGAGATCTTTTGTGACAGTTTCACTTGGAAAGACCAATTTTGGGGTTGTGGTTGTATGGTCTCCAATCTTTGTTGTCATTCTACTCAAGTTTACTGCATTTTCAAGCGTCCAGGCAAGGATTCTGACTCTAACTGCACGTGTCCCAAAATGATAATACTCGTTTCTTCCCCATCCGTCCATTGCACTTATTACTGGATCTAAACATGATAATTATTATATTTTTAAAATATTGATAAATATGTTACAGTTTGCCCCCCCCCCAAAAAAAAGAGAAAAATACACAATATATATATATGTATGTTAAGTCTTACATATGTACTTCACCCATAGGCGAACATGAGAAGCATTGAATGCAAACGTCAGACTTCCAGCTTGAAAACCACATCTTAGGCATGCAGGCCTTCCTGTGGATAGAAAGATTTACTAGTAAAAAGCAATCGGATATTATTTAATTTTGGTTGAAACGCGGTATTTGATTGGATAAAAAAAAATTAATCTAAATTGTATAACCTGGGTTTTTCTACGTCACAATATATTAATTACTAGCTGCAATAATGTAGCCCTCTCCCTCTTTTTTTTTGAAGGGGTGGGGGAGAGGGCTACAACTCCTAGGATCTCCGTAATGGTGCAAAGCGGGAGCGATTCACTCCCGCACGGATTTCAGCTCAAATTATCAGTAAGTGGCTATTTTATTTATGTCTTACTTGGAATTCCAAAATGTAGTTATCCAAGATATAAATCGATCCAAAAATATATAGAACAATCCATATATCCGTATTTTTCGTGTATGTCAACATCACAACTTAAATTTATCCGCCATGTTTACTGACCTTGACAGATTTTATTTTGGGACAGTCAATGAGATTAAGGATCTATCGGAAGCGGATTTCTTTGGAATTACCTTATTTTAAGCTTAAATATCGCTGTTTATGAAAAAATGACACATGGAATGATTTTATTTATCGATGTTTAGTGTTACTATTCATTACAATTATTTATAAACATCGACATTTGCTTTATTGAGTTATTCTAAATTTCAAGCGCAAGTCTCAGTACGTCACGCGTGAACTGTCATGGCTGCTTAAGTAAACACACAGATTTATTTTACATGGTTTTCTCGTTTAACGGGCTATGATGTCGACAGTGAATAAAAATTTTGTCTTATTAGAAGTAAGTTGATTGTAAAAACAATTTATTCTGCCTGCAGTCGCCCATATTTAAAAAATATTTTTGCACCATTATGGAGATGCTGTGGAATTGTAGCCCTCTCCAGAAAATATCAGATAAAAAAAATCGGAGAGGGCTACATTATTGCAGCTAATTAATTACTTGTGTCAAAAATGTATCAATTCGCTTGACGTTACGTTTAAAATATGAACAATTTGAAGACGTTTTTAAGGAATTGCCTTGTTTTCTATAGGTAATGATTGGAAAAAAAAGTTATAAGGAATGAATTAAATAGTAATACAGCTATAACTTGGGTTGGAGCAGTTTACACTTTTTTATAAACAGCTTCGCGGTTAATAAAGCGTTAACTGCCCCATCCCAGGTTATACAGTATAAATTGGGTTGCTATGTAATTTAATTTCTTAAAAAAAAACAACAGGAAATTAAGTGAAAAATTGTTGTAATGTCTGACATTTTGAAAATTATCATTGATGAAATATTCGTTTACAAAGAATTTTTTATCGCTATCCATAAATACCGTGTCCTTCTGAAATCAATCCAGGCATCCTAGAAAACGGATTCATTGGTTCAGCTTGTACTACCACAATATCTGGATGTATCTTGACTGGCACTTCTAAGTAAGTCACTACTAAGAAGAAAATTTCAATTTGTTGAAGTTTATTTTTCGCATAAGGGAGAGGTTTTTAAAATGTGTTTTAAGTAATAAAGTATTCTTAGTTTAAGTTTTTTAAAGTTTTATTTAAAATGATATAAATTCATTATGGCTTAGTATTATTTCGAATAATTCTTACTGGTCACATTTCAATATTAAAATCTTACTCAAAAACTACCTTCTTGATGACCTGAAGTGATGTAATAAAAACCTACAAGTTTAATATTCTTTTGTTTTCAATGTACCTGCGCCTTTACTGAGGTTCCTTGAAGTCATCGTGTATACGAATCCAGAGTCATAACGTGGAGGCATGTCCTTTTGTTGCCACATTTTTACTCGAACTTCGGCCTCGACAAAATCTATTTCATTAATAGTTTTATTTTCATGAGAAGTTGGGTAATACCAATCTTTCTTTTCACCTGTATGAAATAAATATCGTCTGTTTCATCCCAAAAATGCCATTCAGTAGAAAATTGCATGAACGAATTGTCCATAAAGATTCTTTGCAACTTATCAAGATGAAAATTTGCTTTATCCCATTTAAACATTATCTGCTCTATCATTAATGCATCGCTTAAAATACCATCCAATAAAATAATATGAGTATGGCGTGTTTCAACAGAACCGAGTCGCCCGCGTGGCGCAGTGGTTAGAGCGTCTGCTCTAGAGTCGCGAAGGAGTCAATCCTTACGTCGCGGGTTCGAATCCCACTGTGGGACTTGGAGACCGGTCCCTCGGATGAGACCGTATAAACCGAGGTCCCGTGTCGCAGTTGGTGCTGGCACGAAAAAGATCCCTTCCTGCTCAGTGGCCCTGAGTGCCGAGCATAGGACAAAATTTGCAACTCTCCACCGGCAAGTGGTGGCATCTACGTATGAGTGAAAAATTCTCGAGAAGGACGTTAAACAATATACAATCAATCAACAGGACCGAATTTGGAGCTGTCGCTTGTAACTTGCAAATGTGTAAAAATCCAAATCTCATTCAAGCAGACGCTCTGCTCTCTCCGTAAATCTCTGACCACCAGAGTTGTTACGGAAACAACCCGACCAGCGTCTGGTTCATCTATAGAGACTTACCACAATACACAGCTCCTCCGGATTTGAATTGGTTGGTACTGCTTGGCAACAGAATAATAACACCACTTGCATTATAGAAATATATAACTCCGCCATATTTTTCTGCACTGTCATCGTCTCGTGTAGAAGAACCGAACGCATTAAAAATGTACGAGTTCCCGCCATCTTTGACCCTTACTTCCACAATTACTTTTACGGGTCTTGTTGTTTTGTCAACGCTATCTGGGAAATGAACGAAAAGTTCGCTTTTCGTATCATCTTGTGCTTTTACGTAGTTCCATTCACTGATGAATGTGGGTTCATAAGGAAATATTCCTGCTCCAAAATCTGGAAAAAGGTGTATATAAGAGAAATATATTTTGTTGCTTGTAAATTTGTTTTTATAACAAATTTAATTTAGGCAACCTTTCTACTTTTTTCTCAAGTCCTTAGTTTTTCTTGACATGCCACAGGAAATGATGTCACAGTCCTAAATCTCTTCTAGTTCCCCAACTGCATTGCAACAAAACGCTGTATCTTCAGCTCTTAGCGGGGTGACAGTGTTTTTATGTTTTGTTATTTGTTGTATCCTTGAGTAAAAAATAAAATGAACAAAGAAGAAGATATCCTTAATATAGATTGTTGAAATTATATCAAATTATTATCCATCTCAATCTAGAAACATTTTTTATACTGGTGCTAATCAATTTCATTATAGATGATCGTATTTTTAAATTTTGGCTTGTAGATGTATATGGATGTTTGTCGTGATGAAGACTTTTACTTATAGCGTCTAGCTTGTGCTTGTTTAATTTTCTTTAAAATTTTAATGGTTTGTCCAATTTTAATGTACTTCTAAATTTTGCCGCAATTCAAAAAATAAAAAAATGCATATTTTAAAAAAATAGATTTCCCAAAATTCTTTGAAGTGATTTTCTTTTTTTCAATTCTTTTTCTAATCAAGTTACCCGGTATTATAAAATCTCTCGTATTTTCCCAATGAAATATTTGTTTATATATTATATAACACAGAATGCTCATTTTGAGAATGCTCATTTTGAAAAAAAATTTTAATGGCCAAAAGGTGATGAAATTGTCAAAATACTTTTATTACATACTGTATACTTACCTAAATACAAAAGTATCCCCAACAAAAATATAGCTGGAAAAATAAAACCTGTGCTCCTTTGCATTTTAAAATCCCAAATGAAAGCAAGATCATCTTAGAGGACTGCACTTAGAGTCTTTTAATTGTAATGTAAATAAATAATGAAGATTAACGATATTTGTAACAATTTGTTCTTTGAAAATAATCAATAAAGTGAGAAGCAGTGCTACGGTGGCTCATTTTATGTAGAGTAAGAATATGATCAAATTGTCTTTTTTTTTTACATTTCATATAATCAATTTCATAATTGCTATACATGTATAAGTCAATGGGTGTCAATTAACATCAATACAATAAAGCATTAGAAATGATAAATTAAGTTCAGTCTTCCATTTCACCATATTTCAGTTTGAACTCTACGCCTAGACTTAAGAGACATTTGCATATTTGTTCCATCTTAACTTTTCATCCATTTGATTTTTTCCTGAAAATAATGGTGGTAACACAGAGCACTTGTTCCATATAAATTTTGGTTATAAACCTTTCAATTCCTAGTTTTGGTTACTAGTTTCAGAATAGCAATAATTTCAGATAACGAGCTCCAATCTTTCAGTTATACCTGCGGTGTCAAGAAAATTAAGTTCTATATTTAATAAAATTCTCCCAATCATTCGTCTCTGACGGAGATCTCAGCACTCAAAGTTAACCCTCTGAGGATATAAATCCTTAGGAAATTAGGGTATGGGTTATATAGAGACAAAATCACATTATAATCCTTATTATATATATATATATATATATATATATATATATATATATACACCTACCATCGAAGGTGAGTTCATTCTACTCCACCTATACTGGATTCCTCAGTTCATAGAAATCCTTACAGCGTCTCTACCAAACTCTTATCTCTTCTGACAAAAATACTAACTGCTGTAATGTATAGAAACTTCAGACGACCGAACCAACAGCATATTAGATGAAATTGGTATGTGGATTCTTAGAAACTTCAAAGACCTTTTAATAAATTTAATAACAATTGTTTTCAAAGTTATTTACCTCAAAATATTATATTGATTTTAAAACTTAATGCAATTGTTCCTCGCGACGACTTTAAAGATGTTATGACTTTTTAAATACATCGAACAATCGCTTGTTCAATAAAAATTGGACACGGAAATTTTCATATTTAATACTTAGTAATCAACAAGATTATTGTGTTTAAACACTACGTGTCTATTTCTACAGAGGCGTACCCTGTAAATTGATAACTTCTTCGTAGTCATTGGTGACGAAGTCTTTCAAATAACTGATGGAATTTTGATCTGCACCAATAGCACTCCATTATATTCCTATTCAACTTGATTCTTAAACTATTTTTTAACTCTTTACAAACAAAAATACAAAATGGTCTCTATTTAATATTCAAAGAACTGTCATTCGTTATCCTCCTGAAAATATTAACAGCAGTGAAGTAGAAATTTCAGGAGGACTGAGTAACTTTATATTCCAAAACAGTGCTAATCAGACCTAAAAACTTAAAAATATCACGGAACTTTTAGAAAATATAAAATCACCAAAAAATTTCCCAAATAAAACAAATCAAAACGAACGAAATTTCACCACTTTATACTCTTTTTCCCACGATGATATAAAGTCCATTCTTTTTCATGTCATATACAGTTTTTTTTTAAAGAAACAGAACTTTTAAAAATTATGTATTTTGTCTCTGGTCAGTTGCAAAATTATTTTGCTACAGAGGAAGTCTTTCAATATTATGTTGAAAATCTCAGCATTACTAATTGTGCCCTGTTTTAAGCGGTCATGTTTTTTTTTAAGTTAAGGTGTTTTTATTATCTTAATAAAAAACCCAAACGAAAAAAGTGTGTTTTTAAATATATCAACAAAGTTTTATCAATTTAAAATATCCATTTTCATTCTGTCAATTTAATGAACCCTTGAACTCAAAATAAAAGACACAACAGAGTCTGATACATTCATTCATGTCGAGGGGTACAACGGATGGATCGGTCGGCAGGGAATGCTTACTTCTCCATGGCATCTGATCCCATCTTTGTTTGGAGAACTTCGTGTTTGCTCTGCTTAACAATTCTGCTGTTAATATATATTGATGAACTTGAGCGAGTGATCATTGTTCATCTTCATATTTAATTTTCAATTCCTGGTATTATTTCAACCACTAATTTTTTATCATGAATTACATACATGAATTCATCATGAATTACATCTGATATACTGATGAATAGGTTTTAATTGTCAGACAAACAAATAAAGAAATAATTTTTGAAATACAAGAAATGAATGAAAGTCTCATTTTCATATCGTCCTAAAGTAGGCAAACTAAAAGGTGGTCTAAATAATAAGACAGAAAAAAGGCATTCAACCGTTAGCACTCAATGATAATAAAGACAATATAATTGTTATTCAATTTATTTAAAAATCGATTTCTTGTACAAATAACTTTTTACATGCCTAAAAGCGGATAACATGTCAGGAACAACTATGAAAGCAGCCATCGTTAACAGAAATACCACCCAAACAGTTCCAGAGGCATTGGTAGAAGGTCGAAAGTCTTTTACCGATATCTTTTTTCTCAGAGCAGCCGAAGTTTCTAGAACAACAAGTTCTTCTTGCATCTCCTCGATCGCTCTGATTAATGCTTTGTCATTAACGTCTGTATATTTTGGCTCGTGTACCATAGAACACGGACACATGCACTCTCCTAAAGCTGTCACAAAAAGACATAAAAAGAGAGATATATTGACGAGGTTTCATGTAACTTTATATTTCTGAAAAAAAGTTCTGTTTGTTTTCTTGGAAAACTACCCTACCCATTTACAATACTTTAACTGAAAACAATGGGTAAAAACCATTTACATCTCTGAGTTTTTGCTGCAGAAAACTTTTATGTACCTGTACAATTTGGAGGTCTTCCATCCCATTTTCCAGAAGACATGCATTTTCGCTGAAGACTTCCGTTTGCCAGAATATACCCTTTGTTGCATTTATAGTTCACTGTTCCGTTTATTGATCGATCCATGTGTGTAATTGTGGTATTCGGTTCCTCAACCAGTTCTGGACATAGGATTTCTATGATGAAAATACATCTATTTAGTTTAAATAAGCTAGCTTTTCAAAGGTAGGATAATTCCAAGGTTTTCGTCAGGACTACATTAAGCGTTATCGCTATGTCCTGGTTTTCAACACTTCATATTAAAAAGAAAGGATACACAAAATTGCCTCTTCTCAAGTTTTCTTTTGCTTAAATCTTTTAGAAATCTGTATATTCTTATTATACATTTTTCTAGAAATGAAATAAAAATTTTATCATAATATCATAAAATGTGATATTTTAAAGTTTACATTGTATAATGACAATGTTTTATTTTTTAGGCTGTCTGTCTTTGAAAAGGTTGTTATTTTTTTTAAAGTATAGGATTTTAGAAATAAAAATTAACTTGGGATGTCCTCATTTGATCTTTATATTTTCCCAAACATATTTTTCTTTTATTCCCTGAATACTAGTATCCTCATTAGTCAATGAGTACAATGAATATATTTCTAGACATTGTACGTCTATTGTCAGGAAATGATTAATTGATTTCAGTTAAATAAAACTTTGCATGGTTATTTTCGTGGCCTTTAAATTTTACAAATTTAAACCTGAAACTTAATCAAGGAATCACTGTCTAGTTTTGAGAGTATGCCAGGGCATCAACAATAGTGGGAAACATGGGATTATTTGCATAACGGGCGAACCCCGTTATGCTAAAATCATATCATGTTTCCCACTATTGTTGATGTCCCTGGCATACTCTCAAAACTAGACAGTGATTCCTTATATTTCCATTTCATTGTGAAATAAAATTGTAGACTTAGACATTAAAAATGTAGACTAATACATTTCAATTACACGAGGACTTCCATGCCAATTTCAATAGTCCTCGCACACTGACGTCAAACACAAAGGGAGCCGCACGAAATTTACATGCATATTTGGCCTCCTAAGCGTCAGACACAGAGACAGATGCGCACGAGATTTGCATGCATATTAGGCCTCCTTAGCTGCTGACCTGCATAATCTACATTCCAGCAGAATTGTCAAGAAATAATTTCCCCCAACTTTCAAACAGTTATCACAGAGAAAAAAAAATTAGAAATGGAAATATTTTTGAAATATTGTCCAACTCTAGCTTCAAAAAACCGTGAATCAATAACTATTCTTAGATATGATTCTTGTTACCTTTCCTTCAATAATTAACGAAACATTTTATTTTCTCTTATACAGCTGTATATATTCACCTGAGCAACTGAATGGTGCCCCATCCCAGCTTCCATTTATGAGACAGGTGCGTTCGAAGATAGACTCAGACGCCGCTATATAGTATCCAGGGTTACAGGAGAAAGAGGCGCTAGTGTTAACCGGAACACCAGATACCCAGGTATTTGTCATGGAGATGTTCTTCAACAATGTAACTTTTCCATTTTCTGGATTTTTTATAGCTGGACATAATATTTCTGAAAAAAAGAGTAAAGTAAATGGATAAGATAAAGGTAATAAAAACATGTGTATGTGATTAAGTAATTAAAAAATTTTCTTTTTTTTAAAATGGCTATTAATCCATAATGCGTTTCTCCCCTCTCTTTTCTCTCTCTCTCTCTCTCTAATTTTGTGGAAAGTAAAACATTTATTCTGAGTTCGTATTTAGAAACAAACTGCTTACCAATACAAAGTATAGGGTCTCCAGACCACGTTCCGTCGTCCTGACACGTCAGATATGAGTTTCCACCAGCAAACTGAAACCCGGGGTTACAGCTGTATTTAGCTGTACCGCCTATAGAGGTGTCCTGGATGAGGCCTCCGTTTGGAGGAGGGGTCAATGACGGACAGAGAATTTCTGTTGGAGAATAAAGCTGAAGGTTATACCGCAATCAGCATCATGTAAAGTTAAAAATTCATTTAGAGCTTTTGTCTTATAGAAATACAGTATATTGGTATGAGGCTAGTAATCATAAAGTTTGATATTGGTCATCTATAGCTTATTATCTCGGACTAAATTGACACTCTGTCATTAATAAACGTAATGTGCCTAATGTTAAAGCAATATGAGCTGCAAACTTGATGTCAGAAATTTTTGTTGAAAAATTGTAAAGAAATATTTTAATAATAGAAAATAAGAACATTTATAAACTTCTGTCGTGCATATTTGCGATGGAAGAACTATTTATGTGCTTAGATTGAAGCAAAATTATATTATTGTCGTCCTACATGTATACAATATTGAATTCTTATATAATACTACACATTCCATTGCATAAAAAAAAAATCATTTTTCTGAAACAATTTAATACTTTTTTTAGTCTAAATCATTATAAAGATTTAAATTACAATCAAATTTATAGTAACAGCACATTTTGACAGCAAAATAAAATTCTAAAAAATGCAGCTCATATTGCTTTAAGCTTTTTTGGAAGGTTTGTATCTATTTTAAATTTTTGGTATTAATTTCATTATATTACCTGAACAAACTGGAGGATCCCCGCTCCATTGACCATCCAACATACACGTTCTGCTCAGATTTCCCGCGGAATTATAGAAACCTGGTAAACAGCTGTATTGTACGGTTCCATTAACTTCCGTGTTCAGCCCCATCAATGTGGCATTAGGGGGAGTAACCGTTTCTGGACACAATATTGCTGAAAAGTGAATATGATAAGGTACACGCGAATGATCAGATGAATAAATTGAAATAGCTAAGATAAGTTTGGTTAGTCAGATTAATTTTACATGTGCAAAGAATCTGGATTTTATTTTTTTTGTCACCTTCACTAGGGTTCGCATTAAGTTCTCTCGGTTAATGATTTACTAATAGTATTTCAAAAATCATAGTTAAAAACAAGATGAATGTTTTTGTTATGAACAAAACTGAGATATATAACATTTTTTCAGGAAAAAAACGCAGAGATATACATGTATATTACTTTATATTTTGTATCTAGCATGAATTCACTTTGCTTTAATTTCAACAGTTTAAGCAAATGATCTTTCTGCAAACTATTTCCTCTTTGCACAAACAAACAAACTTTAAGCCAAGGTATCTAACTCCAATTTACGTGGAGATCATAACACAACACTCATTCTTTGTGCAAAGTTTGAATGAAAACCCCAGCCGATCAACAGACAGACGACGGATAAACCTTGACCATAAAAGCTCACATAAGCATTCATCTTGGATGAGCCAAAACTGAACAAAACCAAACATATTACGCACGGAAACAGTCTGGAGAGGTTCCATTCCAACTTCCGGTGACAAGACAAGTTAGTACCACAACTTCAGATAAAACGAAGCCAGGTGTACAAGAAAAGGTTGCTGATGCGTTTACAGGTACTTGTGTCGACGCAGCGACATCTGGGCTCATAGGATGCGTTACAGTAACAGTGCCATGACTCGGATTAGGAAGAATAGGGCAAAATACCTCTGAAAATTAAAAACATAATGGACCTTCAATAACTGATGAAATTTCGAAGAAGAGCTTTGGCTAATATTACCATTAACAGGTTAGCATAGTTATATTTTTAAAAGAATCCATCACCTGTACATACGGCAGCAATACCGTTCCATATTCCAGTGTCCAAACAGGTTCGAGTGAGATTACCGTCAGTTATTTCAAAGCCTGAATTGCAGTTATAAACAGCTTCGTCGTTGACGGATCTACCGGAACTTAAAACAACAGTGCCATCTGTCGGATCCGTTAACGCAGGACATAGAATCTCTGTGACACAAAGGATAGAGTTAGATAGAATTTACGTTTGGACTTGTTTTTTCTTTACAAAAAAAAAAAAAAAAAAAATCAAAAGCTAGCATTTTTTCATTGTTTTTTAACCGCCATGTTGCTGTCCTAGTTTGCTACTCACCTTGACGACAAGCATGAAACGTCGGTTTTAGCATTCCACGACCCTTTGTTTCGAGATAATGCAAAGAATTTCAATAAGACTAAGGAAACTTGTTCTTCTAAAATAATGTTCAATATATTCAAAATAACTACATCCTTAATTTTAGCTTGGTGGTTAAATATATTTTTTTTGACGTTTGAGTAATGTTAAAAAGACTCTGTGCGCCCTGAATTTAAAACTCCGCAACTCTCTTTACCAATGCCGTTGGTAAACCCAAACTACTAAAAATCAAATGATGCTTATACGTGTATTTTATATAAATCATCACGATTTACTTCAATGGTTTTTTTTCAATTTCAATATATTACCTGAACATACTGGGGGATCCCCGCTCCATTGACCATCCAACATACACGTTCTGCTCAGATTTCCCGCCGAATTATAGAAACCTGGTAAACAGCTGTATTGTAAGGTTCCATTTACTTCCCGGTTCATCGCCAGCAACGTGATATTAGGAGGAGTAACCGTGTCTGGGCAGACTATTGCTGAAGAGTGAATATAATAAGGTACACACGAATGATCAGATGAAAAACTGAAATGGCTTAGATAAGTTAGGTTTGTTATGTTAATTTTACATGTGCAAAGACTTTGGGTTTTCTTTTCTTTTTCACCTTCAGTAGGATATGCATGAAGGTCTCTCGTTTTATGATCTATATGAAATACCAAAAAAAAAACATAGTCAAAAAGGAGGTTAATATTTTTGTTAAGAACACAACAATCGTCTGAGATATATAACATTTTTCGGGGGAAAATGCAGAGACATGTATTTCTTTATATTTTGTACCTAGCATGAACTTACTTTGCCTTAATTTCAACAATTTTAGCAAATGCATTTATTTCTGCAAACCAGTTTGCCATTGCACAACAATTAATAAACCAAGTTATATAGCTCCAATTTACATGGAATTTCCCCTTCCCCCAGAATCGCAGTCATTAGGACCATTTATAAAAACATTTTGTCTTTAATACACGGGGGCATTTTAACTACTAGTTAAAATCCTTCTGATCCTGAGATTTTTCTTTAAAAAATCATTGACGGCTTAAATAACACGGCCCGAGTTATTTAATTTAATGAGACCATAACAAATTCTTTGTGCTTGGATGAAAAATACAATCATTAGGGAGACGATGAAAAGTTTGACCATAAGAGATCACATAAGCAATCAGCTCAGATGACCAAAAACTGGACAAAACCAAACATGTTACGCACGGGAACAGTCTGGAGAGGTTCCATTCCAACTTCCGGTGATAAGACAAGTTAGTACCACAACTTCAGATAAAGTGAAGCCAGGTGTACAAGAAAAAGTAGCTGATGCGTTCACAGTTACTTGTGTCAACGCAGCGACATCTGGGCTCATAGGATTCGTTACAGTAACAGTGCCAAAACTCGGATTAGGAAGAATAGGGCAAAATACCTCTGAAAAGTAAAAGCATAATGGACCTTTAATAACTGATGAAATTTCGAAGAAGAACTTTGGCTAAAATTCCCATTAACAGGTTAGCAATGTTATATCTTAAAAAGAATCCATCACCTGTACATACGGCAGCAATACCGTTCCATATTCCAGTGTCTAAACAGGTTCGAGTGAGATTACCGCCAGTTATTTCAAAGCCTGGATTGCAGTTATAAACAGCCTCGTCGTTGATGGATCTACCAGAAATTAAAACAACAGTGCCATCTGTCGGATCCGTTAACGCAGGACATAGAATCTCTGTGACACAAAGGATAGAGTTAGATACAATTTACGTTTGGACTTTTGCTATTCCTTTACAAATAAAAAAACCCCCAAAAGCTAGCATTTTTCATTGTTTTTTTAAACGCCATGTTGCTGTCCTAGTTTGCTACTCACTTTGACGACAAGCATGATCAAGAGCATATCATCTGTGTAGAATATCATAATTATTGCCCTCGATATTTCACATTTTCCTCATATTTGATCGACTTTGAATGAATTAAAACTTAAGAAAACCCTGTTTTAACGACAAGATCATATAGGTGTTGTTCAAAAGGGTTAAATTAATACTTGAAATATTTTCATATACGTGTGGTTCGTTACACTTTTAGGTAGCAACGGACGTATTAAATTTAGTTTACCTTCACATACAGGCGGATCTCCACTCCATGTCCCATTTGGTAAACAGAATCTACTTAGATTTCCAGCCAAGAGATAAAATCCGGGGTCACAAGCATGTACAAGTTCTCCATCCACCGTATACTTTACTGATACAACAGTGCTATTGTCGGGAGTGTCCTCATTGGGACAAAACGTTTCTGTATAATTGAAATGAATCAAATATCTGCAAATTCATTTGTTCTAGTGAAAAGAAGAATATATATGCAATCATTATAGGCTTTTGAAATGGCTTTTTTTCAAAAGATCCATCTTTTTAGTGGAGAAAATGTGAGTATAAAATGGCGTCAACTTTTAGGAAAAATTGCATGTGAGTGCTTCTTATTAAAGCTCTCATGTATATGATGTGTTAATCATTGACAATCAAAATACATTTTATACTTTTATCTTTCGAAAAACCACCGGACCATTTGGAAAAATTAAAAAAAACCTAAAGTATGAAGTGGTTAAAGGGATTTAATTCATACAAGATCAATTTCACTTCTATTCAAAAATTTTGAAAAAAAGAACCACAACGTATAAAAAATGTCCCATGGGGATGGTGTAGGGTCAATCTGCGGATCAATGATTCAACGGAAATAAAATGGAAAGGTATTGTAAAATTTTCCTTCCATAAGTCACAGCAAATCAAATCCTTGTCCATGTACCTCAGATAACTCTCAATGGGCATCCCATGTCCAATGATACTAATTTAAGGTAACAATGGATTTAGGGAAATACATTTCTATAGACTTCTAAATGAAGAAAAACAAGAATAAGGCATCCCCACTCTTAGCTAATTGACCGATTTGTATACCCTCATCTCCTCTTGGCTGATTTAGTTGATTAATTACTGCAATCTAGCGAATGAATCAAAATATAATTCTTGGCAAGAACAGCATTTCAGATGGAAAGCATTTTTGGAGAAAAAAAAGGTTCGGAAAAGAAAGAAGGTTTAGCGTGCATTTCTGTGATGGTATTTGATTGGATGTTCTTGGATATCGATTGAGGCCTAAGCTTTGAAAATTAGTTAAATTAAATCAGCCAGAAGGATGAGGTTTTACGAATAAGAGATAGAGAAGATTGAATATTCTTTATATATCAGACATTAGTTCTCATCAAAATGTACCTTAAAGTCATTATTAAATGCATATTGAGAGTATCTTACCGATGCATTCTGGTATATTTGTATTCCAGACTGCATTCAGTTGACAATGTGCCGCCTGGAAACTGCTGTTAAGGTAATGGAACCCATAATCACAGGTTACTTTACCTCCCCTACACGGCCTTACCCTGGCTTCGTTGACTGTACCTTTGGGAATTGTTAAATCCGTATCGTTGCATGTCCCTAAAATGTGAGGTTAAGGTTTCTGACAACTGTGATTTTTTGTAGGAGGTTACAAATGCAAATTTTAACTTTTTATATACCGATACGTCTGTCTTTCATTAAGGGTGCTTGTTAGTGTAAAAGGTTGTATTCACATGTAAATTATTGAAAATTCTCAAAATTAATTTTGAACTATGTAAAGACATCTATAAACAGCAGTTGAAATCCCAAGTTTGGGGAAAGTTTTAGCATACGAAACAATTTAAGAGATAAGGCCTATTCGAAAAGAAATATTCGCCATGTGCAATTTTTAAAAGTTTACCTCTTGACATCATTCCGAGGGCGATGATGTCAATTATGACGTCATTTGTGCGTTGATTATTGTTTCCACTTCCCCAAGGACTATCAATATCAAATACAAAGGCCCTTGGGGAAGGTTTGACCCTCCAGACGTACACCCCAAAAGTGTTGTAACCAAACACCAGACCCGTGTATCTACCAGTTCCGTCATAATTCCCGGAATTCACTATCGAACCAGTGCCGTAAAATGAAAAACCTCTGTTTGGACCATCCACGGGACGAATCTGTAGAGAAACAGTTCGTAAATAGGCTCAAGAAATGTAACGACTATTAATATTGTTGAAGTACTATCAAAGATTTATACTGAGCACAAATTAATGACGTACCGATGCCATTACAAGGGAGGCTTCAATTACTACTTCGCGCGGGAATACCATCTTCGGAGTTGTTTGGACAGAATCGCTTATGTCTGTTGTTGATGTTTCTTTCCACTGACAAGCGTTCACTGCATTGTCGAAAGTCCAGGCAAGAATCCTGACTTTCACTTCATAGGACATTAACCGATTTGGAGTTGGATAATCTTTGTCTCCCCATCCATCTGCTGCACTGGTTATCGGATCTAGCAATTAAATAGGAACATTTGTTTTGATTTGGATTACATATGTTATTTTTTTTTACACAAACAAACTTGCGGGAAATGATCGATAGTTGGAAAATTGAAAGTTTTCTTACAGTTCAATTTAACCCACAGTCGAACATGAGAATCGTTGTATGCAAATGACAGTCCACCAGTTTCATCGCCACAACGAAGACATCCCGGAAGTCCTAAGATCAAATGAAAATTAAAGATTTTGAAAGTATTGCTTCCTCTCTTTACTTTTTTCGATGCAAATTTCTTCAATATTATTACTTTTATTTTTGAAAATTCAAGCTGATAATTGCTTCAAAATTACCACTTCCTTCCGATATAAGTCCTGGCATTTCATCAAACTTTTGTTCTGGTGCAGCTTGTACTACAACCATATCAGGACTAGAGGTCAAATTGATCGGCACCTCCAAGTAAGTATTATCTGCAAAAAAAGTTCAAGTTCAGAAGTATTATTTTTTCCTTGATGATTTTCAAGTTTCTGTCAAAGTTGATAAAACGCTCGCTCTGTGATCGAAAAGGTCTTGTGTTCGCATAATGACCGCGACTGACCGAAGCCGATAAAAAATAGCAAGCAACTGTTTCTTCGCCATGCGCTCAGCATTTTTAAGTGAAAGTTGTTGGTATTTTGGGCAACACCTAGAAAACTAAGGCATTGGCATGATAAAGAACCGTCACTGCTCAATGACCCTGAGTGCTGCGTGAAGTTTTAATTTTAAAGTCCTTCATCTTCATGGTGACTCCTCTATATGAATGAAAAATTCTCACACGGAGCGTACAACAAAGTACAATCAATCAGAATTAATCAACAAAAGACGTTTAAGTGAGGTCATGAAATACCTCTGGCGTTGACGTGCCGTTGAACCTTTAGAAGCAAGTCTCTTTTTCAACTTAATTTATGTCCGTACTGGACTGGCATGGGTCATGCACCATCAGATGTAATCTAATTGACTTTCTTTGAAGAAATGATATAATTTCCTGGATGAAAGAATAGAAAAACGTTTTTAAACTTCCTTCGAATGCTGAATCTGACCTATTTTTAATTGGTTAACAAGTTTACTTTTAGGGGCAGTTTCAGTTGCAATTCACCATAAGTCATTCCTGGGACAAACTGGCAAGATGCATTATGTATGCTCACTATTACACCTGCTTCGGATGCTAAACTGACCTCCGTTTAATTGAATGAATTCCAGATTTAGATTTTCCTTGACCAATCTTGCATAGATCATGAATCTAGGGAAGCACATCAACGACTCACTGCAAATGCTGGATTTGACTTTAGCAAGTTAATGTTTTCGATATGATTCATATTGATGCCATAATAATGACTAAACTTGCTTTAATGATGTATGTTACTAGTATGTTACAGACAACCTTTGGTAGCTTGATTGACCTACATAAATAAGGTGATTGAACAGTTTAAGTTGTTTTTGAATTGTTTCATTTTAAAGTATCCATAGATTCCACATGGACCAAACTTGATAGAGATTACGTAGCCAGGGGGAGCAACCGACAATAAAAACATCTCTTTGTTGTGAGACTGCCCTCTTAATCTTTGATGCTTGTTATTGTGTGAAAACTGAAAAAAAAGATTACTGGCATATTGAGGGAAATGTTCGCCTATGGTCTTTGAGTGGTCAAGCGGACTGAGCTTGGAAGATCTTCCTCCGCACAAAGACAGAGAGACGGGCATTTTCCACGGATATTCAGTCAATATCCTTTTAATATCAAATATTAATGCAACCTTATACAATTCAATTGCCTATGTATTCCTGGTCATGGGCATCCTTACAACATTTAGTAATTGATATCTGTGACATCAAATGTACATATGCTTGATTAAACGAATAGTTTTTCAGAAAAAAATATATTATAACAAATTCGTATTTTTCATTTTTAAAGGGTTAAAGATTAAATTTCTTCCTTGGTATATTAAGGTAAAGCTAAAGAATTTATATAGTTGGTGCTGCAATATTTTGAACATATAATTTTTTGAATTTATTTATTGCTTATATAAAGATCTTCGAATTTGGGACAATATTTCGTTATAAAACTCCAAAATTAAAATTTGAAAAAAAATAGAAGACTTCAGTCAAGTTGTTCACAAATGGATTAATTCGAGCCCATTAAAACATTATGACTGATCAAACTAGAGGTACTGTGAGCAATGAGCTCACTAAATGATACCCCCCGCCTCCCATAATGTCCATGTGTTGCTAAATATTGTTTTGCGGTAATGTGTAAAGAGGAACAACTCGTCCTATCAAATGTTATCCAGAAGCTTCTATATGTGACGTCATAGGTAAACATATAATGGCAATGTCCATGTTTTGCTATGGGAAACCTAGAATACGTGTCGAATAAAAAAGTAAAATAGGAGGTGCACAATGGCAATATGTAATAAAGATTCTGTGAAAGTTTCATTAAAGGATGACTGCACTTAAGGATTTGCGAAATTTGCGTCAAAATAAACTTTCAAAACAGACATTTTTCTTTTAATTGCAGGAATGATCAACATCTAATCTACAACTTTGCTCAATTACAATAAATAAAAGTATATATCTACGATGTACGAATCTGTTTTCTAAGGCGGGGGTCATCTCAAGTTCTTCAATCTCCGTACGATAATGAGGACAACTTTTTTACTGACTTAATACATAGTCAGCGCATGTTTGTCTATTGTTCTCCTTTTAACAGTGGTTGTATATTTGCTTTTGTATAATGTTGTGTTAAAAGGTACGGAAGCGTATTAGTGCCACTTGGACACTTCACTTTTTTTTAATTTGTACACTTTAATCTGTAAAATTTATACTTTAAAGTGTAAATTTTACACTTTAATCTGTAAATTTTACACTTTAAAGTGTAAATTTTACACTTTAATCTGTAAAATTTACACTTTAATCTGTAAATTTTACACATTAATCTGTAAATTTTACACTTTAAAGTATAAATTTTACACTTTAATCTGTAAAATTTACACATTAATCTGTAAATTTTACACTTTAATCTGTAAATTTTACACTTTAATCTGTAAATTTTACACTTTAATCTGTAAAATTTACACTTTAATCTGTAAATTTTACACTTCAATTTGTAAATTTTACACTTTAATCTGTAAAATTTACACTTTAATCTGTAAATTTTACACTTTAATCTGTAAATTTTACACTTTAATCTGTGAATTTTACACATTAATCTGTAAATTTTACACTTTAAAGTGTAAATTTTACACTTTAATCTGTAAAATTTACACTTAAAACTGTAAAGTTTACACTTTAATCTGTAAATTTTATACTTTTATCTGTAAATTTTACACTTTAATCTGTAAATTTTACACTTTATTTGTTTATTCACATAGTCAATTTAGCAACTTCACACATTCCCAGTAACGCATTTTTAAAGCCAACAGACCGTTAATCATGCAAGATAGTTACGGAAGCATAATATCAATCTGAACTGCAAATAAAAAAATCTTTGAGATATATATTTTTACTTTTCGTTACACTATAGTAAAACTAAAGAAACACATGTATATATACTGAAACAAAAGCAGATCCCTGATTTCTTATGCTGGGGAAAATTACGAGACCTATGAGGAAATAGTCCATCCTTGTTTATCATAAATAATAAACAAGTACGAGTACATGTAAAATAAAAATATACAAAAAATTGTAAACATCTCAGTTTAAAACTTTTTCTCAAGTGTCAGAGGTAAAACATCACAAATCGACCGTTCGATCATAACCTATTGCAGTTCAGGTTGTTCAAAAATAAAGTGTAAATTTTACAGATTAAAGTGTAAAATTTACACTTTAAAGTGTAAAATTTACAGATTAATGTGTAAAATTTACAGATTAAAGTGTAAAATTTACAGATTAAAGTGTCAAATTTTCACTTTAAAGTGTAAAATTTACACTTTAAAGTGTAAAATTTACAGATTAATGTGTAAAATTCACAGATTAATGTGTAAAATTTACAGATTAAAGTGGTAATTTTACAGATTAAAGTGTAAAATTTACACTTACAAGTGTAAAATTTACAGATTAAAGTGTAAAATTTACACTTTAAAGTATAAATTTTACAGATTAAAGTGCACAAATTAAAAAAAAGTGAAGTGTCCAAGTGGCACTAATACACTTCCGTAAAAAGGAAAATTTACAGATTAATGTGTAAAATTTACAGATTAAAGTGTAAAATTTACAGATTAAAGTGTAAAATTTTCACTTTAAAGTGTAAAATTTACAGATTAATGTGTAAAATTCACAGATTAATGTGTAAAATTCACAGATTAATGTGTAAAATTTACAGATTAAAGTGTAAATTTTACAGATTAAAGTGTAAAATTTACACTTACAAGTGTAAAATTTACAGATTAAAGTGTAAAATTTACACTTTAAAGTATAAATTTTACAGATTAAAGTGCACAAATTAAAAAAAAAGTGAAGTGTCCAAGTGGCACTAATACACTTCCGTAAAAAGGAGATTAATAGACAAACATGCGCTCATGGTTTAAAAGAGAAAAAAACTGCTTCTTCTTACACTCGCTCTCTCTGTTGTAACCAAGGGCCGTGACGCGTTAAATATATTATAATTCACCCCGTGATATCTTTCACACCGTATACAACCGGTAACGCGGGGGAGTCGCTAAAAAGTATGGGGGAGTCGTTTTCAACGTATGGGGGAGTAGATTTTCACCGCTTCGGAGTCGGAAGAGATGTGGGTCACGTCTTTTTTCGGTATTTATAAGATGTATTTACAAAAAACAAATATCCCACGGAAGATGGCAATAGTTAAGCTTTATTTTGGTCATTTGTCCGGCTGTCATATACGTCTAGTTTTCTCAAACACTTCGAAACTATTTGACAGTTTTCATATTTACGTTGATCGGATGGTAAAAACATGCATGATTTGTACAATCTACGGCTTGTGTAGGGATTTTCACAGTTAAAACAGCGAGAGAAAACGTTTATCTTTTAAATGCAACAACTTAAACTTGAGTAGACTTTATAAAAATTAATAATTAAGACATTTTCTCCTCAGACAGTGAAGGTTACGTAGGGGGGAGTCGTTTATGGGAAAGCACATCGCAGGGGGAGTCGCAAAATAAAGTCAAATGCATAGTTGGTGTTGTTTTCATCTCTTTTATATTGCCAATACCTTTTTATTTACTCGTAGATATCTATAAATCTATGTTTGGTTATTTACTTTATAATATGATGTTACTAAAAGAGATTTTTTCTGTGGCTTTATCAGTTCCAGAAAAAAATCAACAATATAGATTGCATGAACAATTGGATTAAATATCATCGGAGCACATGTGCTTGAGGACAGGACTGTCCCCCTCAATATGTAATTTTCGTACATGTATATCACAAAAATTCAATCCACGAATTCAGGAACCCTAACTTCAGACAATGAAAGCCTTTCCATAAAAAAAAGAACAACCCGATTTATAATTTGGAAAATTTCTTGATAATATCAACAATTTTTTTAATTAGAAAAAGGCAAATCTCTGACGCGTCTGCACGCGCCATTTGACTTTTTCTTTGGGAAGGGGGTTAAATTCAACTGGTATATTCTCTCGATTAGGTTCACAGATAAAATTCATAATTATTTTTTTTTTAATTTATTTATCATATGAAATAACACATCTTCAGACACAAACGAATAAGTATGTCAAATTGAGAAGATTTTGAATAATCTGAGGTTAATACACATAGGTAAATATACAGGATGAATACTGAAGAAGGGACTGAATTGCATATTACCTAATACGCTGGAAATGTGTGTCTATGATATATAAAATGAGAAGTGACAATGTAAAAATAATTAATCAGAAACTTTGAAAAGAGGAAATACGAAAATATTTCTTCTCTGTATACATTTCATTATCATGATATCCTCCCTTTCCTTTCCCCAGCTATATACAGTTCCTCAGAATATGATACCCCCTTTACCCCTCCCCCTTTCGGAGTTTCGTGAATACATGGTGAACTGTTGTACCAGAATCAGTCTGAGGCAACCAGTATATTATACATTCATAGACAGGGTTCGAGGGCAACATGCATTTTGTCGGACCCAAGAATCAAACTGTTTGCAGGAGACTGTTAGGCCGAAGGCAAAAAGTTTTGTTCGAGGGGTCGACGAAACAACACATTTTTGATGATGTTTCATTTCCAGTTAACTATGAGCCCTATAATGAGTAAACTTGCATGGATGATAAATCTTAGGATGCACATTAATGGACCTGCTTCGGATGCTGAATTTGACATACATTTTTTCAGATAATAGACCAGGTAAAAGTTATGAGTGCAGGTCTATTACCAAAAAACTGTAAGGCTTATATAACATTGTATAAACTAAAATCATAGTAACTATTATAACAACACATTTTGCCAGATCAAGAGAACACATTCGATCAATGTTTTGTTATACATTTTACTGTTTATTATAGTATTATTACGATGAAATTTTTGTTAATCCTCACTGCATTTAAAGACTGTCAATTCCGTAAAGTTCTGACAGCTGACCCCGCCCACACTTTGACATAAACGGTACATTATCTCATCGAAAGGTCCAACATCTCGCTCCACGGTCAAACAGCTTTTTATTTGACTATTTGACTGAAGAAAACAGTAGAAAGGTTATTCTTTTTAGTATAAATTTATATAACAATTTTTAAAAGTATAACAAAAATTACATACAACTCACCTAAAAAATTTTGAATTTTAACAAGCAAACAAATGGGTTGTTGAAAGGAGGTAACAACAGTTTGACAACCAAATTTTATATTTTATTAACACAAATTAGCAAATAATAGTTACTATGATTTTAGTTTATACAATGTTATATAAGCCTTACAGTTTTTTGGTAATAGACCTGCACTCATAACTTTTACCTGGTCTATTATCTGAAAAAATGTATGTCAAATTCAGCATCCGAAGCAGGTCCATTAATGTGCATCCTAAGATTTATCATCCATGCAAGTTTACTCATTATAGGGCTCATAGTTAACTGGAAATGAAACATCATCAAAAACTAACATTTTCATTCATTCACAAAATGTAGGTCAGATTCAGCATCCGAAGCAAGCCTGGTAGTATGCATCCTAAGATTTATCATCCATGCAAGTTTGGTCATCATAGGGCTTATAGTTACTTGGAAATAAAACCTACACCAAAAACTTTAACCTGTTCACTTAACCGCAAATTGCAGGTCAGAATCTGTATCAGAAGCATGCCTGGTAGTATGCATCCTTAGATGTATCATCCATGCAAGCTGGTCAACGTAGGGCATATAGTTACTTGGAAATGAAACCTACACCAAAAACTGCACCAAAAATGTTAACTTGCTCCAAAAACATTAACCTGGTCATTCCTTGGCTGAAATTACAGCATCTGAAACTTTGAATGGTACAATGAAACACACTAGAACCATCTTCTATTCATGTCTAAACAATAAAGGACATAGAAGTACAAAGAAAACTGCTCCAAAAAAATTAACCTCTACCTGGGACGCCGACACCGACATTGACGCCGAGATATTACATAAGCTCCCCCAACTTCGTTGAGGTGAGCTAAAAAGGTATTGGCAGTATAAAAGAGATGAAAACAACACCAACTATGCATTTGACTTTATTTTGCGACCCCCCCTGCGTTGTGCTTTCCCATACACGACTCCCCCCTACGTAACCGTCACTGTCTGAGGAGAAAATGTCTTAATTATTAATTTTTATAAAGTCTACTCAAGTTTAAGTTGTTGCATTTAAAAGATAAACGTTTTCTCTCGCTGTTTTAACTGTGAAAATCCCTACACAAGCCGTAGATTGTACAAATCATGCATTTTTTACCATCCGATCAACGTAAATATGGAAACTGTCAAATAGTTTCGAAGTGTTTGAGAAAACTAGACGTATATGACAGCCGGACAAATGACCAAAATAAAGCTTAACTATTGCCATCTTCCGTGGGATATTTGTTTTTTGTAAATACATCTTATAAATACCGAAAAAAGACGTGACCCACATCTCTTCCGACTCCGAAGCGGTGAAAATCTACTCCCCCATACGTTGAAAACGACTCCCCCATACTTTTTAGCGACTCCCCCGCGTTACCCGTTGTATACGGTGTTTCAGCAGGTAATTTTGTGAATACAGAATTCCATCAGGTGACTTATTGGTAGCATGTTTTGTGCTAACTAGGACACTGTGCTCGAACACGTTAAATAGTCAGTCATCGATTTAAAATGTTCTTTACTTACATGCATGGTCTCCTACTTTTAAAATCTTTGTAAATAATGTACGTGTGCCATACAGAATAAATAGAAAGATGAAAAATAGAGATATCGTATGTTTTAATACCGGTCATTGTTATTCATCCATCCTAATTCTAGTTCCATATCTACAATATGTTAGCTCCATCCTTCATACATACATAATGTTCATTCAGGGGCAGGTAAGTGATCGATATTTGGAAAACCGTAAGGACAAAAATGTGAAATTACTTATTACATAACAGTCTAAAATAATTTTAAACATTCATATTAGGTCTCTAATTGACAGACCTCTGTACAAAATATATAACATTGAACTTAGGTTAAGATTTAAACGCAACAGAAGCCATCGAAAAAGACCCAAAACACAGCGTTAAGTGCAGTCATTCTTTCACTCAGTAGTATAAGAGGAGTTGCGTATAAGAGATAAAGCGTAACAGACGAACGGACGGACGGAAATCCCGATTACTATATACCCTCCCACTTTTCAAGCAGGGGGTATAATAACATGTTACACCCAACCATAGAATCTGATGATATTTTTTAAAAAAGAGGCCCATGGGCAACATCGCTCGCCTGAATAGCTTTAACCATGCTGTTCTTTACCAGATTTCCCTCTTGTTATACCTATTGTGACCCAACCCTACCCATGGGCCATAATTTGGAAAATTTAAAATCTGCGCTACCCAAAGATGCTTTCGCATAAGTTTCAGCTCTTTTGTACAAGTAGGTTTCAGTTTTTCTGGTCTAGTGGTTCTTGAGAAGAAGATTATTTTTTTTTAATTTCCCATAAATTTCTTTGTAAAACTTTGATTCCCCGTGGTCATGATTTGCACAATTTAGAATCTACACTACTTCAGGATACTTCTACGTAAGTTTCAGCACTGTAAAAAAATAACTAGTTAATGTCACGAAGAAAACTAGTAGATTCATTGTCCATACAATCACTACCTTAATAGTAGTTTTACCAGATATTGGTATATTTACTAGTTAAGATTAGTAAATTTAAAATTGATGAGTAACTTTCGCTAGGTATCTAAGTATCTATACGACCCCCGCTCCACAACTCACTATCTTAACGAGGCTGGGGGGTGGCAGCCATTTTCAGACTATTTCGATCTCCTTTAAAAGAAGAGCTCCATATGAAAATATACAAAAATGGTCAAATTTTAAAACTAAAATGTGTGATTTTTTTTCTTTTCCAAATGATTGTTGACAGCTTAAGATACCATATCTAAAAAAATAAGCTAAATCTGGTGGTTAATTTGTGGTTAATTTGTTGACCCCCAGCCTCCTTAACCAATAAACTGAAAGTTTACTAATCACGACCAACGCTTTACGAAACACACTAGTTAAATTCACTAGGTTTTTCTTTCAGAGGGCTTTTCTGGTCCAGTGTTTTTAAGAAGAAAATTTTTGATGACCCCATGCTATTTCTGTCTTTATATCTTCCCTTGACAAGTTGTAAAGGATTTGACCCTTCATTTTAAAAAATCATACTCCCCTTAACCCATGAATGTTTTGTACCAAGTTTGCATGGTCAAAATTGGCCCACTGGTTCTTGAGAAGAAGGCAAAAATGTTAAAAGTTTACAGACGGACGGATAGCTGGGTGGACGACGGACAAAATGTAATCTGAAAGGCTCACTTGAGCCTTCGGCTCAGGTGAGCTTAAAAAATCAAATATTGAGTGTATGCTTTCAAACATGTAAAATATAAAAGTAGGAATGTTTTGAAGTTAAATAGAGTGAATTATTGGAGAGCAAATCTCAGAGACATGCACGTAGGCTTATTTTCATGAAGCGCTAGCGCGCTTTATGAAATATTCATAAGTGACACACCAATAAATCACACAAAACTTAAAAACATTCCTGAAATGTATACCTTGGACTCCAGTTTGTTGTCTTGATTTCATCGTGTATATAAAACCCGAATCGAACTGTGGAGGTAAATCGTCCTGTCGCCACATCTTCACTCGAACATTTGCATCATCAACTTCTTTTTTGATTTCATTGCCTAAGTGAGAGGTTGGTTTATACCAAAATTCTTCTTCACCTTAAAAAAAATTTTTTTAAATGAATGTTTTTTTAAGATTTATGTTCTAAATATAGAATATTAGAAAATATTATTGAAATACTAGTACATGTATTGATAACGGATTCTTATATTTTAAAAACTTAAAAGTTTAGTTTTCTTCTTATGTACAAAGATGACAGTATAAAAAGATTTGAATGAAATACAAATAGTAAACATAAAGCAGAATAAATACAGTACTGAGAATTTAGAAAAAAAATCGTATCTCGAAAATATTCTATCATTATTTGCACTTTTGTCCACCTTTATGGTACTTTTTCCAAAAGTAGAATTTGCCAATGTTTGACCGTACAGCAAAACAAAGCTGTTCCATGGGGTCCGGGTCCAAATGAAAATTAACATGGTAGATCTACATACTTAAATACTACTGACCTGTCTATAAAATTAACAAACAAGAGGCCCATGGGCCACATCGCTCACCTGAGCATTGTAGCTTGTAACAAAGCAGAAATCAGTTTACTATTGAAAAGTTTAAACCAAAAAGTGGTTCCAACCAATCCTTAAAGGGGAGAGGGTATGATTTGAACAAACTTGAATCTACACTACATGAGAATGCTTCCATATAAATATGACTACTCATGGCTTTGCCATAATTCATAAAAAGAAGATTTTTAAAGAATTTTTCAACATATTTTCTATGTAAAATTTAGATTCCATGTTGTGGTCCCGCCCTACCCCCAGGGGTTGTGATTTGAACAAATTTGAATCTATACTAACTAAGGATGCTTCCATATAAATATGATCATTCATGCCTTTGATATTCTTGAAAAGAGGATTTTTAAAGAATATCCTCATATACTTCTATGTAAAACTTTGATCGGCCATTGTGGCCTCGCCCTACCCCCAAGGGTCATGATTTGAACAAACTTGAATCTACACTACCTGAGGATGCTTCCACATAAGTTTCATCTTTCCTGGCACGGTGGTTCTTGAGAAGAAGATTTTTAAAGAATTTTCCTATATATTTCTATGTAAAATTTTGATCGACCATTGTGGCCCCGCCCTACCCCCGGAGGTCATGATTTGAACAAACTTGAATCTATACTACCTGAGGATGCTTCCGTATAAATATGATCATTCATGCCTTTGATATTCTTGAAATGAAGATTTTTAAAAAATTTCCCTACATATTTCTATGTAAAACTTTGATCGGCCATTGTGGCCCCGCCCTACCCCCGGGGTCATGATTTGAACAAACTTGAATCTACACTACCTGAGGATGCTTCCATATAAGTTTCATCTTTCCTGGCACAGTGGTTCTTGAGAAGATTTTTAAAACATACCACCAAATTTTCACTATTTCTGAATTATCTCCCCTTGAATAAGGGCGTGGCCCTTCATTTGAACAAACTTGAATCCCCTTTACCAAAGGATATTTCTGGCAAGTTTGGTTAAAAATGGCCCAGTGGTTCTTGAGAAAAAGATGATAATGTAAAAAGTTTACAACGACGACGCCAACGACGACAGACGACGGACAAATTTTGATCAGAAAAGCTCACTTGAGCCTTTGGCTCAGGTGAGCTAAAAAGGGATTGATTTGTCAGAGCATTCCAATCTTTGAAAGAGCTAGGAGTTGATAAACTGTAACATAGAAAAAAGGAAGAAAGATAATTCCATATCAGGTACATAAAAAATTAATGTGAGTACGCCATACCCCTATCTCAAATCATAACAGACTCGGTAAGAGGAAATAGAATCCGAGAGTTTAAGGAAGCGATGAAATTACTACTAAGTCTAGATATATTCATGAAATAAAGATTCGTCCTGAAGTTTTGAATAATGAATTTCAATAAAAGACTCGAGTGACACTTTTACTTTATCGTTAACTTTGCCGATTGGTGAACTTTCAAAATCAATACATATAAGTGGGACTTGTTATGTACATAAAAGGCCTTTGAAATATGACAAAATCTTTGTAAATTATTAAGATATGGCAACGGTAATTTTGTATTCTAAATGCAGAGGAATATTCCAGTAACGAAAACAAGGGCGAAAATCTTAACAATTCCATTTACATGTAGATATAACAAACTAACTTATTGCGAATTTGAGGATAAATAAACTGATTTTATGTTGTTTCTATAAATTGAAATTTAATAAATATACAAATATTTTACCAAAAAAAAATCAGATATTTCAATGTTGAAAATATTGGAGTGATCTTATCTTCGCAAATGAAGTTGGATCTTGATGTTTAAAGTCTTAAAATATTTTGGTCCAGTATATTTTAGTTTCTAGTTATTTAACCTTTTTGCACTCACAAAATTGTTATGGTATTGAAAATTTAACAGGCAAGAAAAATTATTTTAAATCGATATTAAATTTTTGCTGAATTTAAGCAGATTGATCAAAGTTATCTTATATATTCAGAAAAGATTAACAAGCGGGGGGTCTTTGATGTAAATTTTTACATATTACCAAAAAGGTGTTAATTTTATGTTCAATTTGGCTCAATTTTTCCCGGATTTTCGGAATATATTTTTCAAAACTTTATTTGTCAGCATACAAGAAAAAGAATTCATATATTTCATATGAAGATATTTAAGAAACAGCATAAAACATTTTAGTGCAAAATGCTCTTTGCACAACCAGCATGGAAAAAGAGGTATCTAAACTTAACAGTACTATTGTACAGGTATATATTTCAAAAAGGGAAAAAAATGACCACTTTCTACTAATATCCCTTCCGCCACAAAATTAGCTTAAAATCCCACTTGAATGGAATTCAGTCGCGGGTACATTGTATTTCATTGTATGTACCCAATAGTTTAATTTACAGCGTAGAGTCCAGGATGAAGAAAATCCACACAAAAATTTACTCCAAGACTCAGGATCGAACCGCCTTATTATCTTTCAAATTCAATTAAAACAAATAAATGTTGTACTCTTAGGATAATTCTTGAATTTATTTTACATCCCAAAACATCTCTGGCAGTCATACGTGAAGATAAAAAAATTTATACTGTTAGTACTTATTTAGAATTTAAAAATTCATAATACGGATATGCAGATTCCCATGACTTCACCAAAACTGAATTTAACAGCACTAAGTAGATTTGTATATTGATACACTTTAAACCATCGTTACTCTATTCCTTATGTACAGGTCCCAAATTCATTAGAGGGTTTTTGTTACTTCTTAAATTATATGTTAGTAAATTAAAAAAAAAAACAAAAAACAAAACATAAACAAACTAGAGGTACTGTGAGCAATGAGCTCAGTAAATGATACCCCCGCCTCCCATATTAATATAAAGGCAGTGTCCATGTTTTGCTCTGAAAAATCCAAAATATATGTCAGACCAAAAAGTAAAATAGGAGGTGCACAATGGCAATATGTAATGAAGATTCTGTGAAAGTTTCATTAAATTTCCATCAGTGGTATGAGAGGAGTTGCGGATAAGAGATGGGTACCCCAAAGCGTAACAGACGGACGGACGGGCGGACGTACAGACGGACGGACGGAAATACCGATTACTATATACCCTCCCACTTTTCAAGCGGGGGGTATAATAACAATAAGTAAAACAAAAAATAACAAAATACAAATACCCATGCATGTTTACAAACCCAAATAGACAGCTTTGCCATCACCGTTCTTTTCATCGTTAGGATCTCTTTCAAACTCATTTGTCAAGAAAATAAGAACACCAGTGGCATTGTAGAAATAAACAACCCCGCCATATTTCTCCTGTGAATCGTCATCGCGAGGAGAGGAACCGAAGGCGTTAAAGATGAAGGATTCCCCGCCATCTTCCACTTTCACTTCGACTATTACTTTTACAGGGGTGGTCCTTGTGGGAAATTCTTTGTCCGGGAAAGAGATGTATAATTCACACTTTTTGTCATCTTGTGCCTTCACGGTTTTCCATTCACTGATGAATGTTGGTTCATAAAGAGTTATTCCTTCTGCAATTTTGATGGGTAAATTTGAGAGTCAGAAAACATACATTGTAGTTTATATGACTATTTGAAAGAGCTCGGTTCACTTTATGCATAAAATGGCCCTGTAGATATACCAATTGATTGATAAACACTTGATTTTCAATTTTACACATTAAAATATAATAGAGACTTTGTGCTTTCATTTCCTATTAAAACTTTTCTCCTAAAAGTCCATGTCTTTGAGAACTGGCTTTATGAAATAGTATTTGTTCTTGAATTTAATGGTAAACAGGCATAATTGGGTACTTTCAGGGAACCAAAAAATATCAGCGCACTCTCTGATCTAAAAAATAAAATTTGTGCTTTAATCCCCAGAAATAGTTCTTTCTTTTAATAGTTTGACATTTTAGATCAGAGATTGCGCTCTAAATTAAATATTGAAAAATAGCTTAAAAACTGGGCGTTTTGGTAGACTTTTTCAGAATATAAGGAAATTGACGCATTTCGTGACGTCACAATGCATCGACTAGCCAGAAAATTATAATAATATTAATAATATATCATTTTTGATAGATACGCAGTCACCAAAGACCAAAGTGCTATTCAATGCATTGTTTACCAAAACTATGCATTTTCAGTTTTTCAGAAATTCACAGGGCCAAATAAGGCAAACATGAACCTTGTTCTTTATTTCAATTACTTTTCGTCAATCATATACAAATAGTTCTATTAACAACCTCCCAAATCGCATGTAATTTAGTTAGTTTAAAAAAAGCGAAACTTGAAAAATTTATTTGATGTTTATATATTTCTGAGATCAAATAAGGCATCATGAGGTACTACAGATGTAGTATCTTTCATTTTCAAATATTCCTGAGAGCTGCCACCCAGGTATGATAGTTCTGGATTCAATCTTTCGTTAGCATCTTTATTAAGAAAACAACCTAAACAAAATATAAATATTGAAATAAAATACTTAATATATGAAGAAGGTACTTTTCTCACCAAATACTTACCACTATATATTACAATTCCAATATGAAAGAAAACATTCAAAAATTGTCCACTTGTCATTTTTCGTTATCAGATGCGTGAAGGTAAACTGTCCAATATTGACTGCTCTGTAATTGACTTTGTCAGGTGACTTCTCCTTGAATAATTGATGAGGAGAAAAATTGTAGATGGAAGTTGATAATTCCTGTATAATAAAAGTGACTGTTTAAAAATAATCAATAAATAGGGGGTGTTCTGAAAGAAAATATGTTTTTCCTAAAAAAAAAAAATTGAAACAAAATATTGGCCAATTTTAGACATGATATTGAAAACAAAAATTATGAATTCTACTATGTGTTTATTTAGTTGATAATTTGAAATCATACTTACTGTTTAATATTTAACTTATGTCGAATGAGCCTTGGTTTAATTTCTTTATGCTTGTAGTGTTATCATATTAAAATTAAAAAGATTTAATATTTGATATTGTCATTAGAAAGGACAAACAGCTTTAACGAATCATTAACCCCGTATTGCGTTCGTATTTATCATAAATAATATATGTACAAAGACTCCAAGGAAAATGAGACAATCACGTCGTTCTAAGGACGAGATAAAGTCATCATCTGAAGTCATCATTTTGTAAGTTCTGTGATCGAAACAATGACCTCATCAGCAAATCTAATTCATATACTGGCTGACTTTGTTCATTCCAATTCTTAGGCCATTAATTACACACTGAAATTTCTACACATTTAAAATGGTCATGACAGAGCACACGGCGGGTGTACTTACTCCACCATAGCGCCTCATCCCTCTTCTGGAGGTCCACGTTTGCTTTAATCCCGATTTAAATTGATCTAAATGTACTTTAAAACTAACTAGTAAACTGTTCTTAATCTTTAGCATATTCGTAAAAATTTCCCGAAGAAAGTATTGGCCTAACAATGTGTACATGTATGTGATACCATTCAACATTGATTAAAATATTTGGAGCTAACAAACTGTAAAAGTCCATTCTAACAATACAAACCAGGAGCAGAGCGAACATGGACCTTTAAAACATCAGACGTGGGATCAAGTGTTAAGGAAAAGTGATCATCCCATTTGGACCGGTCAAATCCGCCGTGCGCTTGTTGTTATGATCAGGAAAGAACGGAAAAAATCCGTTGACTACTCAGTATGTAAAAAAAATGGTCTAACAATTAGAACTAGTTCTAATTGTAACGGGGACCGTTACAGCTGTTCCCCAAACGCTCCCCAACTCCCTTTTTGTGCAAATTTCCTTTAAAACTTTTTTCAATATGCCTAGTATCGCAGGATTTCATAAAAGAATTTTAAAAGCTACAATGATATCACTTTTTTGTCATTTAACGCATTGTTCGCAAACGCACGTGCATGCACATGCAAGGTGATCATGACATGTTGTCTAAACCATTAACATATCTTTATATTCCAGAAATCAATAAAAAGTCATAAAAATATAAATTTTACCGTTTTTCAAACATATTGTTCATTTTACGCATTGCGTGTGCGCATGTGCATGCAAGCACGTCCTTGCATTCAATTTTGATAGCAATTTCATGAAGGAATCCATAAAACCTATTCATATCCTAAACTTCATCCTGTTTTGTTGAGAAACAAAAATATATAGGCATGTAAAGTTTCAGCCAATCAGATTGCAGCACACGTGGATTAATGTGCTTTCATGATAATTCTTATATATCATGCGTTAGATCTTCATAATATGTGACTAAGTTCAAAATTTCAAAGGATTATGACGTAAAACAAGAAAGATATTGAGACTTTAGTTTCAGCCAATCAGAGCAAAGCCCACGTGCATGCGCGTAAGATCTTGCAATTTTGACCATGTCATCTTGTTCATACTACTACTATATTCTTGCATTGTGAGTTTCAAAAAATTCCATCAAGAAATAGAAAAATTACGACTTCATCCATTATATTGGTAATTTCACATGTTGCACATGCGCGCTCTTGCCAGCACACGCGCATGTACGTGCTTTCATTATAATTCTTATATATCATGCTGTAGATCTTTAATAATGTGTGTTTAAGTTCAAAATTTCAAAGGATTATGACGTAAAACAAGAAAGATATTGAGACTTTAGTTTCAGCCAATCAGAGCGAAGCGCACGTGCATGCACGTGAGATCTTGCTATTTTGACCATGTCAACACGTCTATACTACTAATATATACTTATATTATGAGTATCAAAGCATATAATCAAAAAATAGAAAAGTTACGGCTGTATCTATTATTTTGGTCATTTCACGCGTTGCACGTGCGCGCTCTTGCAAGCACGTGCGCGCAAAATGACCTTCGTTCCGCAAATCTACATAACATGCCTACTGACCCTAAAAAGGTTTCACCTAAGTCGGACGTGTAGTTTACAAGAACATTCGCGGAAAAGATTTTCCCAGGAAGAAGAAAAATAATAATAATAATAACTAGTGCTAATTGTAACGGGGACCGTTACAGATGTTCCCCAAACGCTCCCCAACTCCCTTTTGGTGCCATATTCCCTGTAAGCTTCATTAAATAAGACAAACTCGATGCATTTGAGACTTTAATAACGTTTACCCAGAAGTGTACAAAGTTCATTCAAATTTTAGCATTGCACGCGTGTGCATGTGAATGCATGTGCGTAATGACCATATCATCTTGTCTACACAATCTATATATTTAAATATACTAAATATTTAAGTATTTAATCCAAAAGTATTAAAAAGATACGCTCATTCAAGTGTTTTTTTGATTTTGCTCATTTCACATGCACGCAAGTGCACACATGAGCATGGTAACCATATCTTCTTGTAGATGTCCGTTACATCTATCTATGTTCTAAATCTCACCCCGTTTGGTTGAAAACGAAGGGAGTTATAGCTGTTAAAGTTTCAGCCAATCAGATTGCAGCGCACGAACATGCACGTGTGTGCATGTGCATGGTGACCATATTTTCTTGTAGTAGTCCAGTATATCTATCTATGTTCCAAATCCCATCCTGTTTGGTTGAAAATCAAGGGAGTTATAGCTATTTAAAGTTTAAGCCAATCAGATTGCAGCGCACATGCATGCACGTGTTTTCATGATAATTGCTATATATCATGTTGTAGGATATACTAATGCATGGCTATTTTCAAAATTTCAAAGGATTTCGTCAAAAAACAAGAAAGATATTGAGACTTTAGTTTCAGCCAATCAGAACGAAGCGTACGTGCATGCGCGTGAGATCGTGCTATTTTGACCATGTCATATTGTCTATGCTTCTAATATATCCTTATATTATAAGTTTCAAAGCATTTCATCAAAAATTATAAAAGTTACGCCTATATCAATTAAATCGGTCATTTCACATGTTGCACGTGCACGCTCTTGCAAGCACGTGCGCGCAAAATGACCTTCGTTCCGCAAATCTACATAACATGTCTACTGACCCTAAAAACATTTCACCTTAGTCGGATGTATAGTTTACGAGATCATTCCCGGACAAAAAAGTACCCAGGAAGAAGAAGAAAAATAATAATAATAATAATAATAATAATAATAAGAAACAGAGTAAAAACAATATGTTCCCTTTTGTTAAGTTAAAGAAAATTACACTTAGGACACTTCGTTTGGGGAACATAATAAGAAACAGAGTAAAAACAATATGTTCCCCAACTTCGTTTGGGGAACATAATTAAACTCGTCAGTCAGCATTTTACGTAATGATAGATTGTATTTGCTGAATACGCCATTGTATTGACCAGAGAACGTGCATAATGATGAATTTAATCGAGACTGATGATATTCTTGTTTCATAAACTCTTTTGTCAATAAATTACCTCGTTCTAGACATTGTTCATACGCAGGACATGTTTTTGTATATCGAATCAACTTTTACGCGTAGCTTCCTTTCTAAGGAGAAAATTCTTCAAAATCATATGTCAAGTTGAATTTGTTTTAATGTTCCAAACAACCCAAACAAATTCAAAACACTATATCTTTATTGGATTCTGAAACTTCATAAAATTCATTTCAAACAAAGATACATCACGGGTTCCAGTAAATGTTCTATTTATCCTCTTTCTTTCCTCTTTACTGAGATATAAACAGTAGTTCAGGAAGAACTTAAAGAGTACTGTTGAACAATATATTTGAGAATTGGTGTAAATTACTAAAAACTTTTTAGGAACTTTTGAAACATTTGACATTACAAACTTTTTTTCACGATAAATTATGGAACGCCATCACTGCCTTATAGCATGCAACTATGCATTTATTACGTCAATTTATCATTATGTGATGTAAACATATCTTTACGTTATGTCCATTTTTTATGGGATGATGAAAATATATCTTAACATCATGTCAATGCTGCATTACATGAAGTAAATACATCCTTTCATTATGTCAGCACTTCATAACTTGAAGTAAAAATTCATTTTGTGAAGTGATAATGTGTTTACATTGTGTTAAAACTTTATTACGTGAAATGAATGTTTCTTTACATCATTTCATTTCTTTAATATGTGAGGTCAAAATTGGGGGGGGGGTCGTGATTGATTAGGACAAATTACAGGCACATAATATCAACCCCCCTCTTTTCCCAGACATAACTTTACTATAGAAAATGTAATGTTCATTGAAACTGTACAGCCCCCCCCCCCCCCACCCCCACCCCCACTTCTTGTTGAAATATAGTCCACTAAGGGTAATATAATATATCTGGAAAAAAATAGGATTGATTGAAGTTGGACCACTCTCCCCGAAATAGGATTTTCGGGCTTGGACATTTTTTTTCTTGGCTTGTCTATTTTTTTCGGATAAATGATTTTTTTACTGGCTGACCTCCTCTTTCAAAAAAATGATGCTACGTCACTGGAGTTAGTAATTTTTTTCAATCATTCCAGGGCCAGAATTCTATTACAAAAATCTACCGGTCGCTCATCTAAATCAATTGAATATGCCTTAGTAAGCATGCATGGGCACATATCAGTGGCAGATATGGGAATCTTGAACAAGGAAGGGGGACGGTATATGGTTGGAGACCACGGGCGGAAAGCGGAGAAGCTCTCAGGCTTTATAGTTTTATAGAAAAAAGTTTTCAA